TAAGACAACATCTGCAAACATCTGCCAACAGCTCAACGGACATCCAATTCAAGCTAATATGACCGAACACAGAGTGAGTGGACGCACAGGAAGAGGACACTTTGGGAAGCGGGGGCCCTGAGGCGGGGGCGGGAGGACGCAGCCTGGGGGGGGCGCCTTGTTAATGCAGAGACCGTCTTTTACTCTCAGCTTTAACTTCCAAGTTTCAAGTCACCCTCTTTCCAAAGCAGAGATTTTCTTAAACACTTCCTGACAAATGAAGGCCAGTGGTGACGTCAGAACTCCTTCAAACTCTGCAGACTTCCATTTCCTACTAAAGAAAAGAGTAGGATCCCATTTTACTGGTGTCCTACTGGAAGTGCAGAGAAAAAGTGATTTACCTAACCAGCTAAGATATGGTTAAAGAGCAGGCGCTCCATGTTTGTGTCTGGAGTCACAGCTGTGACCGGGTTGATTAGTTTTTCTTGTTTTCATTTCATTACTTGAGGAGAGACTTTTGTTTTTATGTCTGTTTGGAAAGTTCAGTCTTCATAAAGTTTCAATTTGGTGAATAAACACTTCTGTAAAGTTTAACTGCATCTATTTACAATTCCTGTTTTTATTTGTCTGGTTTTAGAATGAAAAAAAGGGTAGAATCAATAATGATCCGTTTGCCAAAGGGCCCAAATTTACTTTAACTTTTCTTTGTTGTTTTTATCTCCCCGTGTCGTGTTTTTAGTGGAAAAGACTCAAATATTTTTCAGTGCTCATCACACTGAGCTGGGCTGATCAGCTCCAGACGTACCTGGATTCCAGGAGGAATGCTGTAGATGATCTGGATGGTTCCACAGTCCGGGTGTCCAGGAAGGGACTGGGCCACGCTGTAAATCTCCATCTTGCCTTTGGGCTGGGTGCCCGTCTTCTCCCCATAGATGGTCTTACAGGAGGGGCACTGCAGGCTGCCGTCCTGCAGGAGACAAGAGCTTCACCTGGTGCCCACTGACCCCCCCCAGAGCTGACCACGTCCCACCTCTTTCTACTAAACACCCCCTCTAATGGTCGAAAAATCCCACAAGATCAAGACAATTTAAGAAGATGGAGGAGACCAAAGGGATCAGAACAGTGAGAAAGTGACCACAGCAGAACCCCCCCAGCAGAGGTCTGTGTCCAGAGGGGAGCAGGTCTGGGAACAGCCCCCCTGGAGGACAGGGGGGTCAGGGCCCAGCAGGTGAAAATGGGGGCGGAGCGTGTACCTTGGTTCCGTTGTTGTACATAGCCAGCATGCAGAGGACATGGAGGGTGTGGCCACATTTGATGAACCTGCCCACGGCGTCCGGCAGGACGCTGGGGCCCCCGTCTTCAGGGGCCGGCGTCTCGTAGCCGGAGGGGTTGGACAGCTGGTCCATGCAGATGATGCAGTCCTGGAATTATGACAGGGTGCACGTTCAATACCCCAGCCACGTGAAACGAGTTAAAAAGTCTGAAGACATGGTGCAAATACAGGAGGACAGACTAAGTTTTAAGACTGAGTTTCCTTTAGTGAAAAGACAAATATTGTGTGTGTGTGTGAGCTGGAGGGGGAGCCCCCTGAAGCATCTACCCCGTCTGGCACCGCAGCCACCACCTCCATGTAGCGCTGGATCACCTCCTCCGGCCTCTGGGAGGAAACTGCAGGGGGACAGAGGAGAAAACACGGCGTGAGCATATCAGCCACATCCAACACTACCGCAGCTCTGCTGGAGACCCTCAAACCCGGGGCAGTGGTGGACGCACGATGGGATGTGATGACGGAGCAGAAAACAGACGTGAGGGATGGATACAGACAGATGAATGCAGCTCTTTTTTTTTTCTTTGTGTGCCAAATGAGTGATGTTCAGCTCCCAAATCAGAGAGTGGATAAACATGAATGGTAACTAACGGCCGACCGGTGGCAGTCGGACGCTTTCAGAGGAGTTCTGCTCCACGTTCAGCCTCCTGAAGCTGCTGGAGTCTAGAACTGGTCATCATCACTCACACACACACACACACACTACTGCGGCTGGGGCTGCCTCCTCGTGGGTTCATGTTTCTCCTCTTTTATTCGGCCGTCTTTATGTAGTGATGAGGCGGATGAATGAGCGACCAGAGGAGGAGGAGGAGGAGGAAAGTGAAAAGCAGGGCGGGGTGAGATGCTCCGGGAGGCGGTGGGGGTGAAGCGGGAGCAGTGAGGGCTGTAGCTACCTCTCCTGTGCTGCCTCTTTGCTCTCCTAACTGAACTGCTGCTGCTGCTGCTGCTGCTGCTGGGGGGCTTGCTGGGCTTGCTGGCTGGGGGGAGGAGAGGAGGAGGAGGAGCAGGAGGAAGAGAGAAAGGAGCGGGCTGCTGATGCTGCTGCTGCTGGGGCTGCTGCTGTGAGGGGGGGGCGGAGGTGAAGTGCACGCCGAGTCCCACTGCTGACATCAAAATGGAGGCCATGCCTGGAGCGGGGTGGGGTGGGGTGGGGTGGGGGCGGGATGGGACGGGACAGGTGAGGGTGGAGAGCAAATGGAGAGATGCAGGAGCAGAAGGAACAAATCAAAATAATAAGAAATGTAGCAGGAGCTGGCCCTCATCCACACACAGCCGGACGGAGGGGGGGGCTGACACTTTTTCCTCTAGTTTTGGAAACTTTCATCTCTAACTGGGTTGGTTCCAATGGACCGGCTCTGTTGTCTGTAGCCTCCCTCACTGGTCAAGCTGTCCAGAGAATGCCTAAAGGGTCAATGCTCACATTAGCTGTCCCTCAACGCTGAAGGGAACTTCAGCTTTCATAAAGAATGAGAATGAGACCACCAACAGCCAAACTCTGTCCCTTATGGAGTTTCCTGAGTGGAACTGTGGCGTTAATAGGAGCCGTGGGAAGGAACAGAGCCTCAGTGTTTCCTTTTCTCCCTCCTTACTCCCTCCTTTACCGGAGGAGGCGTGGAGCGTCCTTTATGAGAGGAGATGAGGCCGTCTCCCCACCTGCTGCGGTAGGAAAGCTCAAAGAAACGCTCTTTCTCCTGACCTGCTGCGGCTCATTTCACTGAAGGACATCTCTACCGCTCAGATTCAAACTGCTGCTCTGAAGCTCACTTTATTCTAACCTAACCACCCCCCGAAACTAAACTTGAGTTGTCTTTTTTTTGCTGCTGCTAAGCGAACAAAGAACGACGCAGCTCAGATTGCAGCTTTCCTCGTTAACAGGTAGCTCTTTAGCCAACACAGGAACCAGGAGCCATGTGTGGGACATGTTTTACAAGACTGAGAGCAAACACTTAAAATAACCCCCTAAGCCGTGCCTCTAAAGAGACCCTACGATGTCTAAAAGTAGAATGGAAGCAGGCCTCCCTGATCTGCTGTGTGTTGCCCCTTCTCCTCTGTGCTTTTGACCGTAAATCTGTGGAGGCAGATGGCCACCCTTCCTTCCTGTTGGGGCTTTTCTTTCCACTTCCACCCCTGCTCAGGATAGGGGGACTGAATCGAAAACATCATTGAGTGAATTTGCCAGCTTGATGTTTTCCTTTTTTCTTCTACATGAAGTTTCCAGCTAATTTTACACAGGAGATGTAGCACATCAAATCTAGCACTTGTTTTTACACACAAGTTCTGCAGTTTCTTTCTGCCCAGAGATGCAATTTCACACTGGTGACATTCCACCTCCAACAGCAGAGAGAGAAAGAATATTTATTTTATGGCCTTAAAAAGACAGAGAAGTGTATTTTGCTTGGCATTGTTCACCATTAGTGTTTATTACTGAGTAATGGGTACATCTGGAGAGGCGGTTGCACCCGTGTCTTTTCATTTTAATGACTTAATTCTTGGTTTGGTGCTTCCCGTTAATGAGGCTGGTTCTGCCGGCTGACAGTAATGATTCAGCCGGCCCGTCAGAGCCCCAAACCGGACCGCCAATTTCAGAGGTGAAAAGAAAACCACGTCCATCAGAATCTCTAGTTTTACTCTGACTACTACCGGCTTCTACTCGGTCTTGTTACCAGATCCTGGCTGTGGAATTTAAATTCCCTCTGATGGGCTTCCTGTGTAAACATGATGAAATGACACGACACTGCATAACGCTGACACCATGAACTGAGCAGCATGAATATGGAGGGTGTAATAAATTATGAATATTTTCAGGCACAATTTGGAGTGCATATTCCAGTGTGACCTTCTGTTACCTACTGAGGGGATTCAGATGTCTGACATTTGATGTGAGCTTTGGACAAAGCAGCATCCCACCCCGATGGGGGGGGGGTAGCATAAATTCCCCAGCAGTTATCTGATATTTAGATTCTAAATGTTTGGGATTTCTCTAAAGTCTTTAATAAACTAAATTGTTCTCATATATTTTACTTTTGGCTTGGAGCACATTTAGCTGCTGAGGACCTACTGGTCTATTTACTAACACAATCACAGAAAGATTTGTAGGAAAATCTGACTGTAAAGTCATTTTTCTAGAAGAGCTGAGTGTGACAGAAGGCTTTAGTCAATCTGTGAGGGGGATGTTTTCATGTTTATTTCTAAAAATAGGTCTACACACAAAGTCTGATTTCCTTAACATTTACTAGGGTTTCATTTTTATTTTTGACTCTTCTTTCTGCCCTTTCTAGCACATCATTTCCTAAACAGACTGACAGGAAACTGAACCAGAGCGGTGAAACCTGAATGAGAAAGAACCTACAGACCCAGACAGGGTCCAGCTCTACAGCTGAGTCCAGGACACAGGGAGCAACAACAAGAGTGGAGGGTTAGTGACCCGTTTACCTGCCAGGGCCGAGCTCACGCTGGTGGAGCCGTTCAGCTGGACAGAGATGGAAGGAACACTAGAGGCCAGGAGACACAGTGACATTCAGTCAGTGAAAACAGCAACAATCAAGCAGACAGGAGGAGGAAAACAAAGACTTGGAACCGTTTCAGTTTTTGTACGCGCCTCACAAGTTTCTACGAAATCTTTCCATAGTGAAACGACGACAGAAGTTTATTTACCTTTACCACAGCCGGTAATGACCACGGTAACTGACTACACCTGATTAACAACAACTCCCCACCGGCTGTGTGTAGGTGCAGCAAGAAGCTCTACAGTCAATAAAAAGCTGGATAAGCAAGCACCAAACCAAACTCCTGTGCTAAAGGGAAATAGCAGAAAAGAGATGTGAAGCTTTCGCTCCTGGAGAATACTGGAAAACTTAACCGTCATCTCTTGTGGTCCATTGCTTTTATAATGACTTACTAGGACTGTAAAATGGCAAAGAGGGCCGAATCAGGTAGAACATAATATCATGTCAAACTGGCCAGCAGCCAATCCCCTCCATTCAAGAGCCAGAGCCAGAGCAAACAGCAGCTGAATGCAGAGAAACTCGACAAAAAGCACGTCCATAAAGTGTTAAGACGGATAGCATCTTAACACTTGATGACTGGTTAATAACAGCCTTGGTGTAAGGGTGTTGCTTATATGTACAATATTCCACCGACATTTGTGTCCAAATAGCAGCTAGTTGTTGGACAGATGTTGCATCCAATGTCCACGAGAAAAAAATGGATTTAATTTGGGCCGGATAACTCTGAAAAGTGACACGGCTTTCCTGCACAAAGCTGAAAGGCTAGATGGACAAGATACCACAGTCATGTTCTTCCTCCATTTCTCCAGCTTCATTTATATGCTCTGCAGCACTAGATTGTTATTCATCCGCAAAGTTTTAAGAACAGGAGGAAGGGAGGTCAGAGGTCAGAGGACACAGGCGAGTCACAGGAGCTGAGCCAGAGCAAACACTGAAGCTACAGACAATTCCTGTTTCACAGGACGCCTCAATGAACAGACAGACAGGAAAGACAGAGAGGAAGGGAACAAACGCACTCCTTTCCTCACAGCTAGCCGAGTTAGGAACCCCTCAAAGCTGTTGATGATGTTCTAACTGTATCCAATCAAAACAAGATTCAACACAAGCTTAGGACACCAACCTTAAACCGTTGGCACTTGTAGAACTGGTCAGATGTGGTGCAGACATTTGACTACCAGAGGCTGGTGGAGGCCAGGGGCTGCCCCAGGACATCCCCCCAACGGAGAGGGGTCTCCTGGGGTAGGGCGAGTACACAGAGGCGGGATAAGCAGCCGCAGCCCTTCCTGTTCCCTGGAGGCTGGGTCGGTTCAGGCTCCCTGAGGAGAAGGAATGCCGTGAGCGGCTGGGCATGGGTCCCGTGCTGCTGTGGCTCAGACACTGCTGGCAGGAGCAGGCGGCGCCCGAAGGGATGGCCGGAGGTCCGGAGGAAGCCAGCGGGTAAGGCAGGTTGCACTGGCGCCGCACCTGCCGCCTGAAGCCGGTGGATTTGTTCACCTGTGCCAGCGATGTGAGGTCCACTATGTAATTGTATCCATGTGGGCTCAAGTCCGCTGTGCCTTGGCGGGCCTGATAACTGTGCTCCAAAAGGATGGAGGTTCGAGTCTCGTAGGGAGTCCAACCTCCCTCATCGTTGGCCCATTCCCAGTAAACGCCACTGCCCAGCCCTGAAGACTGGGCAAACAGAGACCTGCGCACAGACCTGGTCTTACCTGCAAAAGGAAAAGTGAAAGCAGTCATTTAAAGATACATTGTGCAAATTAACAAACACAAAGAATCCTCTGAATCTGAAAGCAGGCCACATAGAAGAAATGTATCCTAGGCTTGCACTTCTGACTTTCACAATGAAACAACAGCTTTTCTGAGGCTCAGTCAAATAACTCATTGTGCTTCTCTGACGTATCTAAGGGAGAAATGTCTTTCATTCATGCTATTTGGCAGGTATCAGCCAAAAGTAATCTCCATAAGATCCCCAGAAAGCTCTTCACGCAAGGAAATGAGGCATCTGTGACACGCTCACCAACACCTAAGCCAATAAGCACTACACTAACTAGCTGACTAGACCTAGCCCACGCTAGCTGAAGCTAGGCGGCTAACGTCCAGACAGGGCCCGTCATACGTCAATGCAGCAGAGCTACACAGAAAGGCTAAGCTAGCAATGAGCGGTGGTACGGTGTTTTTTTTACCGGTGTCCTGCCGAAACTGCTTTAAGCTCGGTATGTCGATGAGGTAAGGGGACAGGCTGGGGTCTGACTGTCCGAGGCAGATGCTCGTGGAGCCGGGTCCTCCTCGGTGGCCGCGCGGTGACAGGCAGCGCTCGATGTAGGCGCTCACCTGCCCGCTGTAGGGTCGCCAAAAGCCCTGGTCATCCTGCCATTCCCACACCGCTATCATGGGCTGAGCCTGCCCGATGGTTCCAGAGGGCGTAGCGGGCACCGAGGGCCCGTTTCTGGAGCCGTTCACCCTGGCACAAGAGCCAGACACAATCGCCATGTTTCACCGAGCTAGCTTAGGCTAACGACAGGTAGCTCAGATTAGCCGATTATGTTTACGACGAAGACAAAGTCTCGCTGCGAGGCCGACTGAGTTCGTTAAAAAGCTCCATTATGAACGTATCAAAGCGTCTGTGGATAAGCTAAGAGGTAAGGGTCCACAGCCTATATGAACACGGAACTGCATGTCAACAAAGCTGTTACATTCAGAGCCTGACAGTGCGTGAGGGGCGATAGCTTTGTGCCTGCGTTGCCAAGTTTCCTCCTCTGCTCGATGATTGCCTTCAAAGACTATCGGAAATATCACAACTTTCCTCAAGTTTGTCAGTCTCTCACAGGGTGAACGTCTGGTGAAAAGAGTCACGCAGAAGGACACTCACATCACAGATTTAAAAGGAACTCCCCACACAAAATGTTAATTCATATTGTGCTTTTATACAAAAACACACGTTTACAGACAACAGCCCAAGGCAAAGGTTTACATATCCACCTCATACAGATACAAGTGCATGTGAATGATGTGCAGTTGGGTTGTTCATATGGGTTTCCTTTGTCTTTATATTTTTTATTATGCTTTTTTTTTTTATCCAAAACAATTTACAATGCAAACGCATTTCAGAAGACATAAAAGCTGACACTCCACACAGAAGGAAGGCAGATTGTTGTTATGGCGCCGTTCCACTCAGCGAGGCATGGCACGGCTTTAAAGGGTATTTTTGCATTTCTAATAGAGGCAGGCCCCACTCAGTTACAGTTCCACCACAGGGCTGAGTAGGGCTGACGGCCAGAAGCTGATTGGCCGGAGGGGGGACTAGGGGTCAGATAATTGGACAGCACCCATATTTAATCAGTGGCCAACAGAGGGCGCAAGGGCGCCGCCCCACCACTCCCCACTCACCTGGTTACCTTGATTAAGACATTTAAAAAAAAATGAAATAATCAAATATAGATATTTCTAGATATGTTTACATATTTTTAGATGTGCAAGATAAATATTTTATAGTTAATGATGTGCAAAGTTGTTTAATTCCTCGGCGTTGTCTGATTGGTGACGTGTTTCCGTTCCAGGGCGCAAAAATCTATAGAGGCTTGTAAAAAGTTGTACATGGCAGTAGCCCCTCTTTAATATAACAGATAGGGCCATGCTGGGGGCACCTGTCCTGTACTCAGAGCTCCTGGCAGCTTGGTTTGTATAGCACATTTGGCTAACTGCATTTTGCGAGGTGAACACTAAATGAGCTTATAATGTTTTTGTTTTATCTAATGTTGCTTTTGTTGTTTTCATTCACATAAATACACTGGTGCGATACCTTAGCATATGTTTGTCTGCTTTTTGGTATATACATGTCTTTTTTGGAGTAACAGCCCCTCTGGAGAAACCTCCACCAGCCGCCACTAGTTTAAACCCCGCCTATTTTAAAAATGGGTCTACAACTACGTCCGATTGAATCATTTCTGTGATCCTAAAAGTTGTGAATACCTGCTATACGAACCAATGCCGCGTTCCAACACCGAGGTCTAGTCAGTTTGTAGTTGCCGCAATGTCCTTGATTGTGGTCTGGTGCTTGTGTTGCTTATGAATAATGTCACGCCTCATTCTGCTCAGCCGTGATTTGTAATGGAAAACCACCTAAACCACGTAGGGCTGGGTAGGCCCTAATGGAAAAACGCCATTAGAGGCGACAGTGGTGACTGTTGAGATAAAGAGGGAAGTACCGAAGAGAAAGTGCAGTAGCGGGGTGGGGAGGTACAGGGTGAGTGTTAGGGAAAGGCTACGCACATTTATTTGTACAGCACATTTCATGTACAGGACAATTTGAAATTCTTAAAAGGGTAGGAGATGGTTTTTGAAGAGCTGGACGCCCCTGTTGTTATGGCGTTGGGTAGGCCAGTCCAGCGTCATGGAACGACACTTGAAAATAATCTTGGTTGACAATCCTCTGATGACAGGAGTAGGCCGATCCCATATTTGGATCAGATCGGCCGCCAATATTTGAAAATAAAATTTGTATCGGCCGGCAGGAGAAAATGCAGATCCAGACTGCCGATCCATTTTTTTTTTATGTTCAACAGTCTGAAGTAAGCAGGCTAAATAACTTTAAACTTTAATGCATGCTCTGATAGGCCGTATCGGTATTGGATCGGAAGTGAAAAAAGCTGGATCGGGACATCCCTAGCCTGGAGTGACCAAGGTGTGACATAAGCCTTTGCAAGAGTATCTGAGTAGATGGAAGCTGTACCCTTAAGCACTTTGTAGGCTAACACCAGACTTGAATTTGATTTTCTTTATCCAAAATGATAGAGATCAGTATGACTCTCTTTTAAAATGAGAGACCTCAGATCTTACCTCAAACTGTAGCACATTAATTCTTCAAAGTGTTCATCATTTCAACAGTGGTTGCATTTGATGGCAAATTCTTCATGGAAAGGTTGTTCGAGTTAGGTAGTCAAAGATAAGTATTGTTCTATTTATTGACCTACGTAACTCATTCATCATTTAATGCTTTTTTCCACTTGTCATGCACAAATAATTTAATACTTCATTTATTCTTTCATCTCCTTTCAAGCATTTCTGCCCCAAACTGGATATAAAGAGATGCAACAAATGGCATTTTTCCATCAGTGCCCACTCAGCCCGAAACAGTTTGGCCCAGCAAGGCTCCACACAGTTTAGGTTGTTTCCCATTTTTAATTGCGGCGGAGTTTGTAAAATTATTGATTTGTATTTAAAATATTTCTGTGAATGGTTTCTTTAAATGACTTTCCTGAGCCAAGACTCTGTTGCCTGGAAAATCTTGCATTTGGCTAATATTCCTTTTATATACAATCTTGACACCCTCACCTCTAATCAATCGATGTATTGATCCTCGAATCATCCAGAACACTTTGACTTGTATTTTATTTACATTTTTGTTTGTCTTTGACTCTTGCTTTGCCCAATTGTGCGTACGTTGTACTGGAATGGAATACTTTATCTGTCTACATTTCTGAAAACACAATTATGATGTCAATCTAGGACACACAAACATGTTCTTTCTTTTGCCACTTTTTAATTAAAGGTGGAAACATTTCTACATTAAAGATTTGTTATTTTATAAAACATGAATTTTTTGGGAAATAATTGTAGTACAAGCCAAAACAAACCCTTTGCCTTTGCTGACATAAAAAATTACAAACCAAAGAATCCACTTACATTTTAAAATAATACAAAAAAGATACATATGAAGCAACAAGAAGTAATCTCTTTTTACACATGATGTTATTAATTATAAACAACTATTCGTAGGGGGATTTTGTTTGTGCCATTTAAACTGACAAACTGTAAATGACAATTTTTTGCCACACTTCATGGTCGCTTGACAAACTGATGCCATAGGAACATCTGATTAGTGGTAAATTACACATAGTGCGTGTTCCATTGTGGAGTTCTATGTAGTTGAGCTGTAAAGCGTGCAATAAAAACTGATGGCCCAGTCCCATCTAAAAACAGGTAAAAGCTGCATACGGCCCACAATAATTGTGTGAACAGAATGTTCTTTGATTCTAGCCCCATCCATTTGTATTTGGGAGCATAGCAGGGAAGTGAGAATAACAAATAGGAGGAATATTATACAGAAGTCTTTAGTGAATGGTCCTACAGGCAAGAGGATTACCCCTGTCCAATATCCCATCCCTCAATAGATGTCAGGAATGGTGGGTTTTTTAGGGAGGACTCAGGTGCGGAGATGACGAAAACAGGGTTTATTGTAACAAAAGGTGGAAGTCCAGACAAGGTACAAAAACAGGGCTGTGGCAAAACTATGACTATGGCAAAGTAACAAAATAAAGATTAACAAGACTGAGGCAAAACATGGCTTTGGCAAAAATCAAATCAGACGCAACAAGAAGGACGAAAACGAACTGGCACAGACGAGGGGAAACGAGAACTATTTAAACACATGAGGGGGGGGAACCCCAGGTGAACACAATAGGTAATCAACACATGACAACACACCAGACATTCCCCCAGACGTGACAATAGAACTGTTTGTGGTCATTAAATACGTGTGTAGATACAGGACAAGAGATTTTTTTAAAATTTGCAATTGTTTTTCTGTAAGTGAAAGGACAACATCTCCCACTTTGGACACCTGTAGATATTTTTATCCATCTATTTTTACTGCATTTCTTATTCCCTACGGGAGTAATGGGGGGCTGGAGCCTTTAACAACTGACAGTGGGTGAGTGGCGGCGTACACCCTGGACACACACACACACACACACACACACACACACACACACACACACACACACACACACACACACACACACACACACACACACACACACACACACACACACACACACACACACACACACACACACACACACACACACACACACACACACTTACTCCTAGGGTCAATTTAAAGTGTTCATTTAACCTAAAATGCATGTTTTCGGACAGTGGGAGGAAGCAGGAGTACCTGGAGAAAAACCACACAGGCACAGGGAGAACATGCAAAATACACACAGAAAAGTCCTGGTTCCCCCCAGGAACTTGAACTAGGAACCATCTAACCACCAAACCACCATGCCGCCCTTTAGATATGTTATGAATCTTTAACGAGAACAAGATAAAATTAATGTTAGAAATGCTGAAAATCATACAGCAAAGAACAAAACACTGCACTGATGAACTGGGAGATTATCTCTCTACTATTTGTGGTGATTGTGGAATTTGGGGATGTCAGCCGGTGTGTGAGGAACTTTGAGAGAAGAATTTGCTGCTGAGGGTTTAGAGCTTTTCCCATTTTAATGACTAATTGGCTGCCGGATAGTCCCATGTCTATGTGATTAGAACTTCTCAGTGCCTGTCTTTGGACTGAATAAGACGCCATTAGAACTTTACAACTGTACAATTGATAACAGGAGGAACAGAAAAATGCCCGGTGGGTTGTCTGGCAAACTGTGAGTGTGTAAGTTACCTGCATTTCAAAGGCTGGATTGATATGGAAAATGCATGGATGTTGAAAATATCATGAAATGTGCACCTGGAGAGAGGTCATTAGGACTGGATTGTGTTTGCCGAGTCCTTCAGATCTCTGAGTTTCTTCAGTGAGAACCTTTTTCGTATTCATCCAATGTTTCCTGAAGAAAATTAACATTTCACATTATACAGGAATAATTTAATTTTCCACACCACTGTTCAAAGTAATGCCCCTTGCCTTTTTGTAACAGAGACTTTGTGGCCAAAGCTATAGGCACTGAATAGTGTCAATTACACAATTGAGCCCTGCTGCA